ATAATAAAAATGAATTATCATGATCAGAATAATACAATAAAATATAATAAACAATAATTCAATATAGTTTGAACATTATTACAGAATACGGCTGTATGATATTTGAAAATCTGGAAAATTTTCATTCAATGCAATATATAGTGCGATAAATGTCTTTAATGGCTTTCATCTTTAATCTTATAGCTTTAATATATATTTACTATAATTTAATATAATTATATGTTATATAATTTCACCAGATTAACTGAATAGCTTGTAAAGAATACATAATTTTAGATCAATTTGAATGATTCTGTAGGGGAGTGTATCTGCATAAAACATAATTAAAAAAATGACAATCATAGTTAAATACAACAGACAAAAGATGCAAATAAACAATATGTTATCATTTTCTGGGAAGTCAAACTGTATTCAGATGCGTAAATTAAATAAATACTGTATAATAATAATAACAACAACAACACTATCGTTTTAAATGAGTAAATAATTATATAATGTTCAATTAATCTTTAAGATACAAACGCTTAATTTATTGTGCCCAAATATTTTTTGTTTGCTTCAAATTTTTACAGTCAGTTCTTTAAAACACATGCAAATAATAAGCTTTCACTCAAAGGTTAAAACTTGAAATGACTTCACTGTGTTGTTAACTGTAATGTCTGGTAAGCTATAATCCCAACTACATTGCACATCTCTACAATGCGACTATTGTGGACTCGCACATTGCAATACCCATGCTGAAATGACATATTGTGTAGCCCTATTACAGAATGAACAAAAATCTTGAAACTAATTTGTATCAAAACCTATTTAAAAAAATTTAATTTAATATTTTTTATTGTGTTGATTTTCTATTTATAATATTAAAATATATAAATGTACATGAGCTGAAGGAAAAAAGGACACACAAGTTTTAAGTTGACCATAATGTGAGCGTCAGCATGTGATTCATGCCTCCGTATTACTGACTGAAAGTTGGACAGCAGCAGATCCAAGAGCAGGGAATAAGTTAGAGGCGGGAGAGAAAATAACAAAACGGACTTGGATTCCAGCGATCTGGATTGCATTAAGCAGCAAGATGAGCAACAACTGTATGTCTTCAAGCTGTCACAGTGTGAAGCTGCAGGCCTCCAGGCACAGGAAATGACATCAGGGCCCGCACACAAACTCAGAGCGCAATAATGACCACTTCAACACAACAAAAATGCAAATCACTTTTGCTCTTTTGAACGATCGGAAATGAATAAAAATGTAATACAATTATAAAAAATAAAGAAAAAATCCACTCATCGGCCACTTTATTAGGTACACCTTACTAGTAGTGGGTTGGACCACATTTGCCTTCATAACTGCCTTGATCCTTCGTGGCACAGATTCAACAAGGTACTGGAAATATTCCTCAGAGATTTTGGTCCATATTGACATGATAGCATCACAGAGTTTCTGCAGATTTGTCAACTGCACATCCATGATGCGAATCTTCCATTCCACCAAAACCCAATGGTGCTCTATTGGGTTGATAACTGGTGATTGTGGAGGCCATTTGAGTACAATGAACTCATTGTCATGTTCAAGAAACCAGTCTGAGATGATTCACGCTTTATGACATGGTACATTATCCTGCTGGAAGTAGCCATCAGAAGATACACTGTGGTCATTACGAGATGGACATGGTCAGCAACAATACACAGGTAGGCTGTGGCGTTTACACAATGCTCAGTTGGTACTGAATGTGGCAAAGTGTGCCAAGTAAATATTCCCTACACTATTACACTACCACCACCAACCTGAACCGTTGATACAAGGCAGTTGATACAAAGAGACTCATCAGACGAGGAAATGTTTTTTCAATCTTCTATTGTACAATTTTGTTGAGCTTGTGGAAATTGTAGCCTCAGTTTCCTGTTCTTGGCTGACAGGAGTGGCACCTAGTGTGGTCTTCTGCTGCTGTAGCCCATCCGCCTCAAGGTACTTGGACGTGTTGTGTGTTCAGCGATGCTCTTTTGCAGACCTCAGTTGTAACGAGTGGTTATTTGAGTTACTGTTGTCTTTCAGTAACTCTTTCAGTTCAAGCCAGTCTGGCTATTCTCCTCTGAACTCTGGCATCAACAAGGCATTTGCAGCCACAGAACTGTCGCTCATTGGATATTTTCTCTTTTTCAGACCATTCTCTGTAAACCTTAGAGATGGTTGTGCGTAAAAATCCCAGTAGATCAGCAGTTTCTGAAATACTTAGACCAGCCCACCTGGCATCAACAACCATGCCATGTTTAAAGTCACCTAAATCACCTTTCTCCCCAATTCTGATGCTTGGTTTGAACTGCAGCAGATCATCTTGACCATGTCCCAAATGCATTGAGTTGCTGCCATGTGATTGGCTGATTATAAATTTGCATTAACGAGCAGTTGGATAGGTGTACCTAATGAATTGGCCGGTGAGTGTATATAAAATATAATAAATAAATAAATAAATAAATAAAAAAAATCAACTGACATTTACTATATGACCACAAACATAATAAAAAAACAGCACATTATTTGTTAATGTATATGAAAAAGTGCTGCTTTTATTTTTTAATCACTTTTATTAAAATGTATATCCTCAAATAAAATAAACATCTAAATAATAACAAAATATACAATATTGTTCACAGAAAAAATTGATTATTGGTCTTCACTTTTCATTTTATAGCAAAAAAATCTGGACGAAAAAGTATGAGACAAATGAAGTGCGCCGATAACTACAAAAATTCCCTCACAGGGAGAGGAAATGACATCACGGCCGCACACCAACATCAGCAGCTGGCTTTTCTTTTCCATTCGCCTGGCAAAACATCAGCAATCTTTTCTGCTCTTACAGTATGTATGCCTTTACCCGACAGGACAACACACACACACCCCTCTGGCATGTGGTATGCTTTCTATTTTTCATATTTTTGCTCTCCTCTTCCTGACATTTCATGCTGGGTAGCAACTGGAAACTGTTAATGTGTTAACCTGTTATGTTTTGTGTGTGTGTGTGTGTGTTTGCGCAGGGGTTTCTTTCTCGTCAATGCAGCTCTGAAGGAGTCCTGAAAAGGATGTACAGGCAGAGCTTTTAGGCCTGCAGCAAGAAAGTGGAACAAATGGTTTAAATGAAGACTTAATTGCTTTTTCAGAGGCGAGTTGCGGCCCCATCGAGAGCTTTAAATTCCTGCGCTTGGTAAAGCAATCAGAGAGAGAGAGAGAGAAAGAGAGAGAGAGAGAGAGAATGAGGACGGACAGTCAGAGGCCAGGTGTGGTTCCTGTGTGCAGTCATAAACCCTGACGCTGATGCTAAACACAACACTCAAAAAAGCCAGCAGCCCTCTGTCATACACTGAATATTACACACACACAAATAGAGAATCAGGAAATATCAGGTAAGAGCAGAAGAGGCCAGGACACTTTATGTATTGATATTTTTAGCGTACAAAACTAAAAAATGACCTTCATGGCTTCATTATAAAATATTAAAAATTTTTAGATTATAACAAAACTTTATTATTACAATTATGAATATTATTATTACTAGGGGCAAAGCAGTGGCGCAGTAGGTAGTGCTGTCACCTCACAGCAAGAAGGTTGCTGGGTCGAGCCTCGGCTCAATTGGCGTTTCTGTGTGGAGTTTGCAAGTTCTCCCTGCGTTCGCATGGGTTTCCCCCACTGTCCAAAGACATGTGGTACAGGTGAATTGGGTAAGCTAAATTGTCCGTAGTGTATAAGTGTGTGTGTGAATGTGTGTGTGGATGTTTCCCAGAGATGGGTTGCAGCTGGAAGGGCATCTGCTGCATAAAAACTTGCTGGATATGTTTGTGGTTTATTCCGCTGTGGCGACCCCAGATTAATAAAGGGACTAAGCCGACAAGAAAATGAATGAATGAATATTATAACTAGCAATTTCATTGTGTGTGTATATATATATATATATATATATATATATATATATATATATATATATATATATATATATATGGCTATAATAATAAATATTATTGTAATTTTACAAAATTGTATTTTTTATTAATATACAAATTATTTTATTATAATCAATTTCATAAAATACATAAATAAGACACTGATAATAAATTGTATATTTCTTATATTACAAAATAACAGTCAGTATATATGATCTATTAACAGTCAATCGATTATTATTGTTATTAGTAGTAGTAGTAGTAATTAAGTAACTAATTCAAAACAAATTGATATTATTATTATTATTATAACCGATTTTAAATTAGATACAAATATGAAATTATAATAAAAAATTAATTTTATATTACCTAATAATAATTAAGTCATATGAATCCAACAAATGTAAATATTGTTTTTAACTGAAATTTTGTCAATTTCCACATTCAATAAAATAAAATAAAATAAAATAAAATAAAATAAAATAAAATAAAATAAAATAAAATAAAATAAAATAAAATAAAATAAAATAAAATAAAATAAAATAAAATAAAATAAAATAAAATAAAATTTCAGCAACTGAAGCGTGCGTTTAATTAGAGTGTATATAGGTGAGATCTGTGGTTTGGTGGATGCACTTCCTCAGGTAGAGACGGGCTCTATCATTTCTCTGATCAACATTTGTTACAACCCATGACAGCGTAGAACTGTAGGCTTAACTCAAGTTTGTTCTTAGCAGGTTGATTCTTGCACGTCATGATTTTGCCGGGTATGATCTTGGATTAACATCTATGTTGATCCTGGAGCATCATTTTTGTTGGAAAATGTAATCCATACTTATTCCCTACCCCTAATCCCAACCATAACTGTAAACCATTCCCAAAGTCAGAGGGGAATAATAGTTGGATAACAATCATGTACAAATGTGTAAATCTAACCATAAGCCTAAAAGGTACATGTATCCCTTAATTCTGATTGGTTGATTGGAATGTTGTTCCAGGATTAACATAAATGTTAATCCAAGAACACGTCCTACTTGGTGAAATCAGGTTGGCATTGATGCTTACCGTTTTTTCCCTGCGACCGGTCTGCACCAGGAGTTTATAGGCCAAAACACCATCATCCGAGCCGTTCCTGTAGTTCCCCTGAGTGATCCTACCAGCCTGCCAGTCCTTATCAAACGCCTCCTGCAGACCTGCCAGAAAACACACACACATTACATTGAAGATCCTGTTCAATAAAACATAAACCGCTTTAACCTCTTCTCTCAGTCAGTTATCGCCAGTGGTCCGTTTCTAGGGCACAATGTTTTCTCTCTCCTTCGCCTCACTGTCTGTGACCAATTTGTCGACCCATTTCAAACCACAATATTAAAGACAGCTCTCTCCACCCTCTCTTTACTGAAGCCTATACCCACATACATACACACACAAATGAAAACATGTGTTCCAATGAGTTTGCTGAAAGCTTTAAACAAAAGCAATGAAAAACGCCAGTGAGGTTCTGGTTGGCCGAGCTGAGCGAGTCTGAACATGCCACCCAAAACTGCATCTGGATGGACAGGTATGCCTTTCTAAAGAAGAAAGTGGGCAAAACAAGGTTTGCTTTTGAGTTTGGGATTAGATACGGCATTTTGAGTGCTCGATGCATGGATTTGGTGGAAAGAAGCCACTGTGGAAAGAGAAAGTTGCTGCAGAGACTTGCCCTTTATCTCTCAATCTTGTTGGGTTTTTTCACTCTCACCTTGCATTTTTTGTCTCTCCTCTACTTTTGTTTTCTTCACATTTTTGCTCTCTGTTTTTAATCCCTCCATTGAAATCTCATTTTCGGATCATAATCCGTCTTAAAGACATTAAATGTGTTACAGATTTGGAGGTTTAGCTGCTTGATTGATGTTTGTTAGAAACAGATGATCTGTTGATGGTAACATTAAAAGTAAAAGTCGTCTCCAACGAAGCGAGGCACTGTCTAGATATCACTACAGTCTGTAAAATATAAACTACCATTTTAAATTTTGAGGACTGTAAGGTTTATTTCGTATATTTTTGTAGAATGATCAAAATTGTGAAAAAAGAACATTTCCCTATTTGATGTTTTTTTTGGAAAAAGTAATTTTAATAAATAAAAAAGTCATTAAAATATTAAATAAATTATCGAAACATAGTTGGCAATAATATATATATATTTTTTATATTTTCCTTGTTGTACTGTTCAGATATTGGACAAAATTAATTTATGACCAATAAATGTTATACTTTTAAATGAATCTACTTCACTTTGCCAGTCAGACAATTTCTTCCAGTTTAAATGAGCAGTTATGAATTAGAATAAGCTGTATTTTGCAATATCGCTGGATTTAGCAATTTTGGAAGTAGGCCTGTTAGACTAGACTATTTGTAAGACTAGACCTCCACTTCAAGGCTATTATAGTTAACGTAAACAAACACAAAAAAAACAACTTAATTTTAAAACCATTTTCGCTAATTAAAATAAAAATGAAAACTAGAACTAACTGAAAGTGTATTGTGTTAGTTTCAATTAGTTTAATCCGGTGTGTTTAATTAGAGTTGGAACTAAACTGTGCAGAGCTGTGGCCCTTGAGTAACTGGACTTGGCACCTGTGTTCTAAGTAAACCAGTTGTTTAAACTAGTTCACCAAATCGAACTGAATCATTTGAAACGTTTCACGTCTCCAGTAAGCACTTATCCACAAACTACTTTTTAACATGCCTGATAACCTCATCTGACTCAAAATAAGCAAATTTTCTAAGTTATTCACTTATTAGAACAGTACACAGAGATCAGATTCGAGAACTGGTGAACATTTTTTGGTATGTTGGACTAACTTGGGAAGATTGTTAAAAAAGATCTGGTTTGCGTTAAAGATCTAAACTTTCCATCACTACTATGAATCTAACTGTAGAAGCAGCCTTGCACACATATTGTACTTAGGGCTGCTATCTTGTGGGCTTTTGTACTTGATTTTAAGGATGGGTAGATGGTAGTGTTCAAGTGTCCTCTGAATACATGTTTCAAAAATGTATTTTTGGTTAAGTTTTTTAATTTACAATATTTATTCTGATTATTTGAATCTTGCACCAAGCAACTACACTTATTTACAAAAAAAAAAACAAAAAAAAACAAAACTAACACTGAAACTAGTAAAAACTAAACTAAAACTAGAAACCAAATATACAACCTAAAAAAAACTAAATCTACCTCTAAAAACTAATTAAAACTAACTAAAACTTATTTGAAAACAAAAAAGTCAAAACGAAATAAAAAAATAATAATAATGAAAATTCTAAAACTGGCGAAGCAGTGGCACAGTAGGTAGAGGTGTCACCTCACAGCAAGAAGGTTGCTGGTTCGAGCCTCGGCTCAGATGGTCATTCTGTGTGGAGTTTGCTTGTTCTCCCTGCGTTCGCGTGGGTTTCCTCTGGGTGCTCCGGTTTCCCCCACAGCCCAAAGACATGCGGTACAGGTGAATTGGGTAGGCTAAATTGTCCATAGTGTAGGAATGTGTGTGTGAATGAGTGTGTGTGGATGTTTCCCAGAGATGGGTTGTGGCTGGAAGGACATGCGCTGTGTAAAAAAGTTTATTTTGTTTACTTATTAATGTCTACTGCCTGCCTTTGAACACCTGCCTGCTTATTGACTATGATTCTGGATTGCCTGTATACATCTGTTTGCTCCTATGTTGACTGCTACTTGCCTGACCATTCTCTGCATAATTAAACCTGCATTTGGATCCTTACTCACTGTTGTTAGTGTCACTTCACATTACAATTATAAGCTTGCTCCACCTTAGGGTTAGGGTTTAGGGGTTAGTATTTATTAGGATGTATTACCTAGCAGCCAGTCTCTGAAGTAATGCAGCCACATGCGCGGGAGTTGGCCGTTCTCTTCCCGCAGGATGTACTTCACAGAGCCAAAGCGCTGGTGCAGCTCATAGAGCTGAGGCTGGATCTGTGCGTAGTCCGCCCTCTGGGTCACCACGTACATGTTGTAGAATGAAAAATAACGGAACTGGGCACGTATGAAGTCATATTCACCCGTCTCCCGTGGCACAATGTCAGTCAACTCTAACCCATCCCGAACGCGGGTGGTGCCGTACAGACTGACCCCGAGGAGTGCCAGGAACAGGAAAATCACCACCACCTGATAGGAAACACACACACAAAAACAAAGGTATGAGTCAGGCCTTGGCCACATCTGAAGCTGCTGCTGTTTAATATTTCATGACAAACTTCTGAGGTGTTTGTGGTTTTCAGAAGGCCTTGACTCACAAAATAACACTTACACAACTCAACAAGATAAGCTCATTAAACGCCAAGAGATTAGCTCATTGCTGGCCTCCAAAATATAACACAATTGCAAAAAAAGCATTTTAGCCTTACCTTCGTTGTAGACTGAAGCAGAAATGGTGCGTAGTGCTTTTCAGCAAATGATGCGAAAGTCCATCTTGAATACGGAGAATCCAGACAACGTATACCCGAATCCCCAAACTGAGATAGCAGGTCTCGTGTGGAGCTGGCGCCATCTGGACTCTGGCAGGATGCTGTATCAGTGGCTACTCCTGGCACTGCACTGCTGCTGTTGTTGGTGCAGTTGTTGTTATTGTTGTTGCGGTTGGGGTTGGGGTTAGGATTTGTATTGGGGGCGTAGGGTTGGACAGAGATGTGGGAATGGGGCTCAGCCGTGGTGTAGTAGGCCTGTGTTCTGGGGTCATATTCGGTGCGCAGCTGTACGGTGGACTGCATGGTGATTTGGGTGTGCTGGGCGAAACTGTGGCTGCTGTAGGAGGGTGGAGGGCTGTAGCGACTCGAGTCCGCTGAGGAATCGGCATACGCTGCCTGTGGCTCCAACTGGATCACTCGGTTAGCGCAAGGGCTAAAGGAGAGAGAGAAAGGCAAGTGCTTTTCAGTAACACAAAATCACCATGCAACACTAGGTATTTCCTGCAATAAGAATTTATATCATGAAATTACAGGAAATTATATAGAAGAGCTGGATAAAACTGGCCTGCACAGAATAAACTAACATAGACAACAAATATCAGTCAATTTTTGCCTAATCCATTTCATAATAAATGGCAATTGTTGTAGGGTGGCTTAAATGATAGAGTATGATGCCAGCAACTCCAAGGTTGTGGATTTGATTCCCAGGGAAAGCAAAACCTGCAAGGTCACAGGTTGGATGATTTTATTTCATGCAGTATGTCATAGTATAAGACAACCAATGCATCTGGGAAACTTTGCACCGTCCTGACATAAAGACAAGCATGTTCATCTTTTTTGGTTTCCTATGACAGGTTCCGTCACATCTGTGATTTTCACCATTAAGAGCACAAAACCTCCACACAGCTCATTTAAACATGCAGAAATTAATAAGAGACAATGCAATGGTAATGCTTGTTGCAGTTATACAGTGAAGTGAGGGCCTGTCAATCACTTTCCTTCGGCTTAAGGCTGGTTTATACTTCTGCATCAAGTAATTGCATGACCCACGGCACCTGCCTTCCACATAGATGTGGATTTATACTTCTGCCTGCTGTTTGTGTTGCTCGACAATAGCATTTCCGATAAGCTAGCTGGTAGTAAGTTTGTATAATCCACTGTGTCGAGTTTCTTCACGGGTGTTCTGTTTTTTCTGAATGCTACAAGTAGCTAAAACTTGCTCATTCAAGGTGGGAACCAGCAGACGTGCAACAACTTTAATCATAAGGTAAACCCAAAACAAAAGTTTCCATCTGGAGCTCCTTCACGGCACTTGACACTTGTAAACAATTACTCCATCGGGCTCTCGGCTCTCAGCACCACCTACGCTCATCAGTGCTACCAAGCTGACCAATCACAAAACCTTTAGTTACATTTTTTGAGAGGTGCGCATCAGCGTCTGCCAAGGCGAAGGTTATTTGACCACGCAAAGGCTCCGCCGGACCATACACCTGTGCTTGACGCAGAAGTATAAATCAACCTTTAGTCACAGATTTATCAGGAGTCACCACAGTGAAACGCTAATTAGGCGTTTTACAAAACATGTCATATTTTTATGCTTAAGTTTGTAGTTTAGTTTTAAGTCAGTCACTAGTTCCGCCTTCTAAGCCACTGATTAGAATTTATAGATTTTAAGGATGTATCTTATGTCAACAATCTAATATCAAACTGCTGAAATTAACCGAGTTTCCTGTTTGAAGTCCCATTTTTAGCAAGTGTATGTCATTGCAGAATCCTTTAAACCATATTGGCAGTAAGTACAATACCTTAAGGCCAATTTATAATTCTGCATTGAGTGCACAAGATAGATCCGATGCCAATTTTTGCACACCCTTTGCTGTAATCTGACAATAGCTCTCAAAAAATGAAACTACACACTGCAATGGAGCAAGCTCAGCCATTGGTTGGTTTGGTAGTGGAGTGAGGGCTCACATGAGTGTTTAATAAGTCTCGAGTCCCATGCAGGAGCTACAGATTGATATTTTTGTTTTGTGTATATATTATGAATAAAGTTCTTGAATGTTTGCTGGTTCCTGACTTTATATTTTGTGAATGAGCAGCATTCTACATTAGCATCACACATTTCTGTCATTACCCAAAACACTGACAAAGAAACTGGACGTAGTGAAACAAAGAAACTCCACTGCCTACTAGTGTTTCAGAGGTCTTATTGGCAGAGCAGCACAAACCTAGCTTTCTCATGAGGTCTTCCATAAAAGTATTGGTAATGCTCAACCCTGATTAGCTTCATTGAGGAATCTGGTATGAGTAAAGAGTGATAAACAGATTGGTCAGATTAGTGAGTAGCGGGCAGTGGGTAGCACTGTCGCCTCACAGCAAGAAGGTCGCTGGTTTGAGCCTCAGCTGGGTTAGTTGGCGTTTCTGTATTGAGTTTGCATGTTCTCCCTATATTTGCGTGGGTTTCCACCAGGTGCTTTGGATTCCCCTACAAGTCCAAAGACATGCGCTATAGGTGAAGTGAATAAGCTAAATTGTACAAAGTGTATGTGTGTAAATGAGTGTGTATAGATGTTTCCCATTGATGGGTTGCAGCTGGAAGGGCATTCGCTGCGTAAAGCATATGCTGGATAAGTTGGCGGTTTATTCCCCTGTGGCAACCCCTGATAAATAAAGCCGAAAAGAAAATGAATGAATGAAATGTAAACACTCACAGCAGCATTGGCAACATGCAAGGTATGTGTCGTGTGGTACGGTGATCACCCAATGCTGAAGTATAAATCAAGCTTTAGGCAAATGTAGGCAATAGGAAGCTTGTGCAGTTGGAGGCAAAGTTAGCGTGTGAGCTAGTGATCATCCTTCAGATGTGGCAACTCGTTTCTCCTAAGCACTCATGCAAATACATGTAAATACAACCGCAATCAGCTTTCCAGTCAAGAGCATTTAAAGCCAAGAGGCGAGTGAGTGCCAGTGACTAGAAAGCAAGCGTTTCAACCATGGTGAAAGTTTAGGCATCAGGTTTAATTTCCTGCAGAAGTTTGGCTGTATGACTAAGAAGGTAAAATATTTGCCTATAGCCTGATTTTGCTTTCTCATTCTCTCTCTCATTAGACACCATTAAATGTTGCAGTAAGAAAGAGAGGCAAGAGCATGTCTTATTTGAGGGCCCGGGGCCACAGACAGAGATAAACATCAATATGCACGTATATCCACACAAAGTATAAAAGTTAAGGCAGGTTGTTGCTTAATAGTGTTGTTTGTAGTGAAATCAGTGTAATAAGAGCCTATTGTGCTTTGTATGTTTTCATATAGAATTGATTTGTAAGAAAATTCCCAAAATCATATCCATGACCTCAGAGAATGGGTGATGGATGGCTTTATGGCAGTGCGAGTCTGTCTGTGCTTGTTTTGCTATAATTGTGAGAGACAAATATCTATCAAAATGTGAAAAGGTCTTAACAATTATAATAAAACAAATTAAATTCTCTCTAGTTAAACCATCTTTATGTATATTATTTAGTGTAAAATTGGTGCATGCTACTTGCACCTCAATGGCATCATTTTATTAGGCATCATCACAAATTTAACAAAACATCTTAAAAAATTTTGTTGGGAGGTCCTCAAATGAAGAAAAGTGTGCTAGTGTTTGCTATACTTTACACGTTTAACACATTTAACTTAACACGTTTCTAAAAAATACCTTCAATAACTTTATATGTGTATTTAAGATAATTGTTTTGAACTATAATCATCTTTAAAAACTTATTTATTTCTGTGATGACAAAGCTGAATTTTCTGCAGCCATCAATCCACATGATCCTTCAGAAATTAATCATGTGAAGCTCAGATAACATTAATTCTTGTACATTTTTATCTGCATTTTGTGGATACACATTTTCCCAGAGATATTGAAGAAAATATATATACATGTATTTGAACTCAGAAAATTGACCAAAGTAAGAGATAAATGTACCTATAAAAGCCTAAAAGTCTTTAAGAACACATCTAGATAAAAGGTAAAAATTATAATTATTACTATTAATATTATTATTATTTTCTTCTAAAACTGCAAGATTTTATTTATTTATTTTTATTTATTCATTAGTGTAGGTGTAAGTGTATTAAATGTATTTATTACATGCCTTTCTGAAATACTTGATTCTGATTGGTTATTTAAGCAGTCTGTTATTCTCAATAGAAACTGATAACTAATAATAACACAAGCTTCATCTCAAATCAACATGTTCAAAAACATTATTACAAGTGGTATAAATATGCTGTATACCATAAATGTTTGTCTGGTTTAAACTTGCCATTTGCTAGCTACTGTTTTCTTCCTTGAAGCTTTACATTCAGGAAGCAAATAAAATATTTTTAATCAATTCAATATTTGGAATAAAATAATCTACTTATGAAGGAAGTAGCTGTTTAAATAACTGCTATTGCGTGCATCCAATCGACTGTTATCGTGAAAAAAACAGGGTGACACAAGATCCCAATTGAGTTTGTTCTGTAACAACAACCAACTAGACACATTAGCCCATGCTTTGCTTAGTTTAAAAACAAGGTCACACTTTATTTTGATGGTCTGTTTGTTGAATTTAAGTTACATGCTAACTAATTTTCATTAGATTATAAGTAGATTAGGTTGGCATTAGGCTTAGTGTAAGGTCACATTTATTTGCAAAGTTTCTTTTAGTCAATTAAACGTCTGTTGATAGAGCAGTATGAATGGATATTAAGCAGACAGTCTACTAATACACTAATGGACCATCAAAATAAAGTGTTACCAAAACAATAGAAGTTTATATCGAGCCTTTATTTAGCCAGTTGAATATGTGAATTACCTGACAAAGCAGCAGAAGATGTCAAAGCGGCGGTCCTCTCTGCGATACAGGTCCATGCTGAGGATGGCAGGAAAGATGAGTAGCACCATGGCAAAGTTAAACACCACCACCACTGCCGCCTGAAAGAAAAAGAAAAAAATAAGCACATATACTCTTCAATAATCACAAAAAGTAGCCAGGTTTCCATCTTAATGTGAAGTCATTTTTATCTAATAAGAAAAAATCCCAAAAGCCTATTAGGTGCATTTGCATCAAGCTGTCAGAGCAGCTGACTGTAGTATTGGTAGCCTAGTAACCAACAGTAAACAAGGTGAGCCTAATAGAAATGCATTTCCATTTCCAATTTTTCGCATTAACCCCATTTTGTCCAAGAACAGAGCCACTTCAAGTGAGTGCAAAAAGTTTTTTTTTTTTTTTTGCAAATGAAAGTATTTTTATTTGAAATTTGACATTTCAATTACTTGTTTCTCATGCGATATAATGGTTAAGTAACTCAAGCGCTCAGTGAAGGAGTTCTGTTCACCTGCAGTTGGAAAAAAAGCTATTTCTGTGCAAAAAAAAAAAAAAAACCTGATGTCATGCACTCCAGTGCAAAGACCATTGATACAGTGGTGGCCAACAAATTAAACTTTAACACAGTTATACTGAGAACAAATGAATGACGAATAACAGCACGACGCTTGCCATCTGAAAACTGAATTTGAAATAAAATCGACTGACATTTCTTAGCATAAATCGCACCAATGTTGAATTTAAAATTCATTCCACACTCTTCAATGTGAAAAACTATGAACTATGACTATGAACTTTGGTTTTGTTGTCCAAACCAATGACAAAAAAAGAGACTTTCTCAGAGTTGGATTAGACATGGGAACCAGCCACTCTTTTTTAGAGTCAATATATCACTCAGTTACTAAAAAGACTTCACAGAGCCAAGAGTACCTTACCAACTAATGAGTGACTGGAAACGTTTAATCTTGATATATTTGGTTGAAGCTCACAGAATAACTAGTGTGAAAAGAGTAACTGGATGAAGAAAAGTGACATCACAATGAGTGTAAGACTGTGTGAGAGAGAACGAGAGAGAGTGAGGGCAGATTGAAGCACGTCTGCCCTAGTTAGGGTGTATTTTTTATGGGTGGAGGTTGGAACCATGTCAAACTGCCAGACCACCCAGTGAGCAGCTCAGCCTGACAGAGCCAAGACACAAAGAGAGAGACTCGTGTGTTCGAAATTCAGCGACTCCAAAAGAATTTGGAGACAGTAAAAAATGTGTGAATGTTACTGCATTAGACAACAAAATATGGAATCTGTCAGGCCTAGAGAGAGAACAGATGAGAGAATGTGCGTGAGTAAATGTCGAGTGAGATCTGTTGGGCTTGACATGTGTGTATGCTTTTGTACTGCCAAAGAAACAGGAGGAAAAACACAGAAAGAAAGTGTGGTGCCAAAAGAACACAGACAGAAAAAATCAGAACACAGTCTAAACTACAACAAGATATTTAGGCAGTTTAAGATCAACAAGAAAATATTTCTTCAGATTTTTGTTTTTCTTTGGTCATGCTATTACATAAAAAAGTTAAGTAGTTCCAACAATTTACTATATTGCATTGAAAAATTATGAGAACAAACGTTTTACCCTCAGAATAATGCAAAACACATGCATAAAACACATTTTTGAAAGTCATCTGAAGGCTTCTTTGATAAACAAACTGTTAAATATAATAATTTTTCAAAAATACTAATTTATTTGGAAATAAAATCCAATAAATGTTGAAATATTATTGTCATTAAAGACGAGGTGTAAGTAGGAGGGACATTGGCTGCATCGGAAATCCCATACTTTTATACTATATAGTACGCTAAAAACAGTTTGCAAGCCGAGTAGTATATCCGAATTCATCAAATTCGAAAAACAGTATGCAAGAAGTACCAGGATGACCAACTAGTTCTGGCGAGATTCTGAAGTATGCATCTGATGCACACTATGCGCGAGAGAATTCATGAATGGGAGTGAAACGATGCAACTTACGCAGGTAGGTCACGTGATCTTGGCAAAACGCCGGATGTAGTACATCCGAGTTCCATTCATACTACTCACAGTCATACTATAGAACGTACTTTTCAAACGGCCAAGTAGTAAATTCCCATTCAAATGCAGTACCTACTGAGTAGTAGGCGATTTCGAACGCAGCCATTCTCTTTCCTGATCATCTGATTGAAAAAACATCTATATAGTACAAGAGTAGTCAACATTTTAATTGCATTTCCCAGGAGAGTAAGAAAGTAAATGTCATAAGGGACAAAAAAAGGTGATGAAGGCATTAGAAAATGTATATATTTAAAATATATTAATTAATAAAGCCAAACAAAAAACAAGTCAAGTTGTGATCAATTCATTTTAAAGCATAAACAAAGTGGATAAACTAAGCCAAAAAATTAAATAAAGCCTGAAGTAAAACAGACTTGGATACAAACATTTAAGTAACCATACTTTGAGCAAAAATATAAAGCATTTGATATTAAATGCTGAAGTAAACTCATTTGGACAACTTACAGCAAGAAATAACACGTTTACCAAAGCAGTATCACCCTGATGTACGTTTGTGTGTGTGTGTGTGTGTGTGTGTGTGTGTGTGTGTGTGTGTCTGTTCAGAGCGGTATTAAAGATGAGTGTTTTCAGGCACCGTTGAACAGGTGCCAGTTGGACTGCAGCGTGTGTGTCTGACAGACGTGTGTGAGACATCAATCCACACATCCTAATACCAGATCTACAGCGCTGTACGAGTGCGTGTGCGAGTTTAGGCGTGAGTCACATCTTGCGTGTGGTCGGCAGACACGTCCTGCACATCTTTTCCCTCAAAATATTATCTCTAACCAGACACAAACACTACACTTGCAGATATATAAAGCAATGGTTGGTTTCTGCTTTATGGATCAAAGCGTCCCACAAAAAGGGAGGCTGTCTTTAGGATTTAGGCTGAGATTTGTGTGAGCGTGTTTGTTGAGCAGAACAAGGCATCAGTGTGTAAATCTCTGCCTATGTCTGTCTCCGTGCAGCTGTGCTGGTTATGTGGATGACGGCGAGGTTACTTCACCTATAGTTCAAGGGTTAAGTAGCCCAAGCTCTCAGTCTGTGTGTGTTTCATGTGAGGGGGATGACGATTTAGATGTTCAATAGTAAAAAAAAAATCTTTCAGCTGAATAAAGCAAGACTGACTATGCAGGTTCAAATGTAGGTATTCAGAATGTATGGAAGTGAAGTTTTACAAACTAATTTTGAGAGTAGCACGTGACATGATTAATGGTGGCTGGTCTGTCATCTGTAATTAGCAATCATCCAATCAGATTGATTCAAGCTTACAATAAATAGGCAGATTTCGCCCTATTGCCTTATCTTCGCCTTAGAAGAATTCCCCCTTCCACCCCATTTCCTCCTGTTCTTTCCTTTATCCTACTGCAGCAAATTACATTTTTACTGTTGAAATTTGGCGCCAGTTAAACATGAAGTGACGATTTTGTTCTCTTTGACTTGTTGGATTGAAATTCTGCTTTATTCGCACGTCTTTTATGAGATACGTTCCTATTGTATGGAACGTACTTTTCTAAATTCAAATTCAAATGTATAACCTACTGAGTAGTAGGTGATTTCAGACGCAGCCATTCTCTTTCCTGATCATCTAATTGGACAAAAATCTATATAGTACAAGATGGGTCAACATTTTAATTGGATTTTCCCAAGAGAGTAAGAAAGTAAATGTCATGAGGGACAAAAAAGATGATGAAGGCATCAGAAAATGCATATATTTTCAAATATATTAATTATTAAGCCAGACAAACTATAAATCTAGTTGTGATCAATTAATTTTAAATTTAAGCATAAACAAAGTGGATAAACTGAGCCAGAAAAGTAAACAAAGCCTGAAGCAAAACATACTTGGAAACATACTTTTTCCTTCCTTTACCAGGGGGAGCTCTCGAGACCTACCTGATCTCGGAACCCCTTATATGACCAGGCGGGAGCCCTGGGCTCAATTATCTCCAAGCTCATGGTTCTTTACTGGGACAGCATGCCAAACTTGCTAATAGTGTCAAGCAATATCTAAGTGTGAACTCTTGAAATGACTTTCATTGTTAGAAAAGCAATGGCAATAGAAAAGAAATAAATAAAGAGGGCATGGAATTTTTAAATGTTGAAAAGCACAATCAGGCCCTAATCATACTGAACACTTTTTGTGCGATGAGAGGTATCTTTTTAAAATGATTTTCTTTTGACAGAGTCGATTTACATTTTTGACAGAGTGCTCTGTGCGCCTGCAAGCAGAGAAAGGTAAACTCTGTGCAAAAAAAAACACCTGACGTCATGCACTCCAGTACTAAGACACACAGTGCACTGATCATTTCTAAATTCAAGAAAAAAGCAGTGCAATTTGCCATGCATTTTCAGAGATGAAAAGGTTGTTTGGAGTGATTGGCCTCTAAATGTTTCAAAATTTAAAAAAACAAACAACAAAAATTGACAACGTTTTCACAGCTTGTCTGCAGTGGAAAGTAGCTGTTTCCATCCAAAAATCCCAATGCAATTTTAAAAAGCAGCGTTTCCATCCAAAGAGTCAAAAAGAACATAATCGTCACGCCTCATTAACTGGAGCCAAATATCAAAAGTAAAAACAGAATTTACTGCAGTAAATTTAAGGTTTTTTTTTTGCGCATTTTAAAAATGTTTGCACATCTTTCTGTTTCCATCAACCGAATTTTATTTGCATCTTCAAATTGCGCATACAAATGAAATACTATGAAAACATAGCTATTGTTAATCTTTATTTTTTCAACAACTGTTTTTTTCATGAAAGTTAAAGGCATCCAATGGACACAAAAAATGTTACATTTTATCAATTAATTTTGTGTTTTATAAGTTAATTAGTATATACATGTTGTTTCCTATTAGCCTTTTGTAAAAAAAAATTGCAGTTGAGCATTAACTAGCAGTCACTAACTGTTGACTTTGATACTATAAATCCACTTCATGACCACTACTCCACAGACTCAGGCTCCAAATGGAATCAGCAGCTGTATTTGACACAATTTGACTTAAGTATTGTACAATAGAAGGAAGTGAAGACAAGCTGTCTATCTTTTTTTAGTCTAGCATCAATCTGAAAATCTGACCAAATTTTTTTTGTGTTTCTTGTCCCTCAAAAAATGTCATACTATTTTAAAAACACACAAGGGTGGGTAAATGACAGAATTTTCAACTGTCCCATTAAAACCTGATTTAAGTCAGGAACAGGTTGTGGGCAGACCTCTTGCTCGGCCTCTTTACTACGTCGCTTCCATAGCCTTGTGGTCGTAAATAAACCGCAGATGTGTGGAACAACAATCCGTGTGACCCACCCCCACTCCCAGATTGAGTTACATGCCCACAATCTGCACACTTAGGGGGCCGTACCACTAATCACACGCCACAGGGGGGGTTATGGGCCACGCCAGTTCTCTCAACCTGTCACACGCTCAGTTTGATGAATGAAATCAATAAATGTCACGTGGAGAAATCTGGAGTCAATGAAGATGTAGAACACACACATATGCAAAAGGAGCGAGCTGGTATGGACATGGAAACTTCAACAAACAGCCCCTGGTCATATAAACAAACTCAAGTACTGATAGAGAGCAACAATTTAAAAAGTGTACACAAACCTGTAGGGAGAAAGCTCTGAGTGCTGGTATTGGGATAAGGGCGGCCATAAAAAACGCTGTCACGTTACTGATGGAGGTCAAAGCTACGCTAGCGCCAGTTCTCTTCAGACATTCACCAGTGCGGTCCTGAGGAATTAAAACAGAGAAAAACCATGACATTGTGATCAAACACAAAGCAAGTATTTTGTAGCTTCCCACTCCACTTCTTCTACATCCAAATTTGTGTCCATTTTTCCCTTTCTCTCATATATTAACAATTAAACTAGCAGTTTGCTACTGTACATCAGACTCGTGTAGATATATGACTGTTGTGATTGGCTGTTTGCATGATGATGAAATGAGGGTCTATACCATTCCAAAGTTGTTGAATAAGGCAATTATATGCAAATGCTGGTATTATTATGTTAGTAAGTTTGCATGATTTTGACACCAGTTTCATCAGCAGAGTTGGGTGTAATGTTCCTCGGTAATGTTACTGTATTCTAGTTACATGTTTGGGGAACGCAGTAATGTACTAAATTACATTTTAAATTTGTGTAATTTGATTACTAAAGTCAGTGTATTTGATATGAGAGTGGCTGCTTCTTCAAGTGGAAATACAGAGATTACCCAGGTATATTAATATTAATATATATAATAATATGTATTAATATACATTAATACATATTATTAATATATATTAATATTTAGTGACACCTTTTTTTCGCTTTTATTATCATCCTTTTACACTTTTTTATATGTCCAATAAAACCGAACATCGACGAGCGATGAAGTAGTAGAAAATCTTCTCTTGTTTACTAGAAAATCTTCTCCATTTTGTACTGTCTTTGCGAGAATTATTAGCACTACTACCACACACAGTCAGGCCTTTTTGGGTCTTAAAAATGCAACCGGCTGGAGTTTTGAAATCTCCTAAAATGACCGGGATTTGGCTTTTGCTTTCGCTTTCTAAAGCTGTCATTAAATGTAAACTTTAATATTTTACATGACTCAGAAAAATTTGTCAGAATTATTAGCCCCTCTTATTTTTTCAACACATTTCTAAACAAAATAGATTTAATAACTCATTTCTAATAACTGATTTATTTTATCTTTCCCATGATGACAGTGAATAATATTTGGCTTGATATTTTTCAAGACACTTCTATACAGCTTAAAGTGACATTTAAAGGCTTAACCAGGTTAATTAGGTTAACTAGGCAGGTTAGGGTAATTAGGCTAGTTATTGTATAATGATGGCTTGTTCTGTAGACAGTCGAAAAAAAAAATTGCTTCAAGGGGCTAATAATTTTGTCCCTAAAATGGTTTTAAAAAAATTAAAAACAGTTTTTATTCTAGCCGAAATAAAACAAATAAGACTTTCTCCAGAAGAAAAAATATTATCAGACATACTGTAAAAATGTCCTTGCTCTATTCAACATCATTTAGGAAATATTAAAAAAAGAAAAAAAATCTGAGGGGGCTATTAAATCTGACTTCAACTGTATATATATAAAAAATAAAAAAAGCATTTACAGTCAATCTATGCAACACTTAACACTATCAAAACAGAAATCATTTTTTGAAAAAAAAACTCTTTACTTTTAATAAATCCCTGACTCGTCATGACTTCCACCAAGGTTTAACTTGTATTTAACCGCGCTGATGTTTCCATCAAAAAGAGCTGATAATCACACAGCCTCCCATGACAACTTAATGAGCTCAACCGCTGATGAAAAGCTCTCCTTTCTCTTCCAGCTATTATGTGGATTTCTGGAAAGAGGAAAAAAAAAAAACGCAAAAAAAGAGATTCATTTCCCTCCCTTCTACTTATCCCTCACTCACACAGAAATATTTTCCATCAAAGGCAGGACATATCCTTTTAAACAAAGCAGCCCGGGGTGCAGAAACACGATTGGCTCGCTGTCTTGTTAGGATAAGCTCGTTTCAAAGCCATTCAGGGTGCAAAACGCAGAAGAAACAGTTCCAAACTCCACCTCTGAACACACAGAGGTACAGATGAGGAGACAAAAAGAAAGAGGGAATTTTTGTGTGTGTGTGTGTGTGTGTGTGTGTTTGTGTGTGTGTGTGTGTGTGTGTGTGTGTGTGTGTGTGTGTGTGTGTGTGTGTGTGTGTGTGTGTGTGTGTGTGTGTGTGTGTGTGTATGTGTGTGTCTGAGGACGTGCAGGACCACACACAGAGAGCTTTGAGACAGGAGGAATACAGAGGAACTGTTTACTTTCCACACAAAAGTGTCGCTGCACGCTGCGCAATCTCACATAAACACAAGCAAATACATGCCTGAGCTCCGGCGTCTGCACGAGAGTCATCTAAATCACCTCTCAAACACGACCACACATACACGCACACCAAAGCTAAACAGAGATATGCCTAGATAAGTCGACGCAAACGCGAAACACAAAAAATACAAATAAATCATATACACATGACTGCCATTGTACAAAGCTAACAACCTATAAACTTCCATTATTTCTGTCTCCTTACAAAAAGTATTGATAATTACAAAGTGATGATTTGAAAAATGGTAATACCACATTTCTCTGATATACTTAAAAAGACACAAAATGATTATTGAATTATAAATAACTCTTACTGTATTAGCTGGTTCTTAAGAAGAACCGTTCAAAATCCTAAGCAATTACTGGTTTGAATTATTTTTTAATTGTTTGCATATTTTCATATATAATGTTTTTGATTTTAATACGTTTGTATTTATGATATATTCTGTAGCAGATTCTTTAAATAAATCACATTTTTCTTATTTCTAAATGATGCAAGTCTCCCTGATGAAAAATACGATAGTAATTCATAGTAAAACACTAGTTTTTGAACCATTTATTCATTTTCCTTCATCCCTGATTATCAGCGGGCGCCACAGCGGAATGAACCGCCAACTCTATGTTTTATGCAGCGGATGCCCTTTTAGCTGCAGCCCAGTACTGGGAAACACCCATATACACTAGAATTTGTAGACTAAGGCCAATTTTTGTTTGACTAATTCACCTATAGAACATGTCTTTGGACTGTGGGGAAAACCGGAGCACCCGGAGGAAACCCAAACGAATTAAACAGATTAATTCAAGTACCTTATTATAGTATAGTTAAAAAACACTATATTATTTGTTCATGTGGGGTGGCACAAGTAACATTTGTGACATATATACAGTTGAAATAGGGCTGCACAATATATCGTATCAGCATCGATATCGCAATGTGAGTCTCCGCAATAATCACATCGATGAATCTGCAAAGTCTGCATTATAATAGATCATTTTGCAACAGTTTTTTTGAGGCATGTGACTGTGTGAGGATTTTAAAAGCAATTAGGCCTAAGAAATTGTACCGTTTGTAACTTAAGTAATGATTAATTCATTATTAAGACCAAGCAATAATATTTTACATTTGATTATTCATTTAGTATATTCCTGAATAGGGTTAAGACTCCATGAAAAACAATTAAACATTGTTTATTTTATTTTTGTATTTTCCTTTATTGAATTTATCTATAATTGTAGATTGTCAATTACAATTTTTAGATGCACTCTCTTACAGAAACATAATAATCTAAAATCATTAATTATTTTTAAACAAAGATATTAAAGTCATCCAGTGAAACTGTGTTTACATAGCAATATATATGGCAGAGTAAAAAAATATCAAAATGTTAGATTGTTCTAATATCGTAAACCCGAATCAATTCATAAAAAGTTGATTGTATCATAAAGTTAAAATCAAAATCATTATCTCTCATGAGAAATTATTTATTTCTTTTTCAAATATTCTTTTTCAAACATTTAAGAGAGCAAGGAATTTTTCACAGTATTTTCTACAATATGTTAACCTAGTTAAGCCTTTAAATGTCACTTTGAGCTGCATGGAAGTGTCTTGAAAAATATCTAGTCAAATATTATTTACTGTCATCATGGCAAAGATAAAATAAATCCGTTATTAGAAATGAGTTATTAAAACTATTATGTTTAGAAATGTGTTAAAAAATCTTTTCATTTATCAGAAATTGTTGAAAATATATAGGGGGCTAATAATTCTAACTTCAACATGTAAAAAGTCTCATTTATTTGTTAGTTTAGAGAGTCATAGAACCCAATTATTCACATGGTGAATCAAACAAACAGACAGTAGTACAATGGTTTGTTTTTTTCCTCAATGTTGTGTGGGAGAAATGTCTTAAGTCACATCGTGTAGTGTAGCCCTCAGCAGATCAAAGTATGCCAGTGTTTTTGAAGTTACATCACAGGCCGGGGCAGGTACACACACATTCCTTCAGGTAAATGATAACATAAGGGTATAACGCTCTGATATACAGTACCCTCTTCCTCCTGATAACGCACTGGCTCCCTCATTTCTCAATGGACCGCCTTGTCTTGACACTATCTTTGGATGTGTAGTGACTTTTGCGGGTCTGACACATGAGAAAACCACTGTTGTTTAGTAGTGTCCCTGTTTTTCAGGACGTGTGTGATGAGATAACGCACCTCGAAAGGAATCCTCTTGTTCTGGCCGGTTTCGCTGAAAGCATGAGCCAGGAGAAAGACATCGTCCACCCCGACGCCAAGAGCCAGGAACGGCAACACCTTTGAAGACACAAAACACACAATCATGGTATATGCACTGTAAAACCTAATGATGAAATTTGATGAAATTAGTTTTTCATTTAAATATTTTTTAAAACATTAATTGTACTCAAGAAAATAAGTTATGTGAACTCGAAAGTAAATTTTAAGGGACAACTCACACAAAAATTAACATGTACTTACTATTTACTCACTCTCAAATGGTTCCAAAATCCTTTAATAGTTTCTTACTTTTGATATTTTGAAGAAAACTGAAAACCTGCAACCATTGGCTTTCATTGTAGGAAGAACAGATACTATGGAAGTCAAGGGTTACAGGAATACCATACAAAATATGTGTTTAAAGTGCCCTTATTATGGGTTTTTGAAAATGACCTTCCATGGAGTGTGTAACACAGCTCTGAGTGAAGTAAAATACCCAGCTAAGGCTTAAATCTGAAAGTGTAGTGTTTAAAACTGTTGATTCATCTATAAAAGAGTCGACTCAAAGTGCTTCAAATCAATCATCTTGATAACGAGTCTTTAGCCATTTCGGGTGACGTCAATACGAAACTTAAGCCCCGCCCAATTGTTGCACGCGCAAACCCGGGAAAATTTAAACCTGCGGCCCCGCCCACAAAAACAGTGGCAAAGAAAAAGAGGAAGACAAGAACTTTAGCTGACGCCGGTTAAATCAAGTCACGCTGTGCTCAGCTGGATATTATTGGAAGTGTGAGGGGAAAGTTAGTGTTATTTTCTCTACCCAAAAATGAAACTGTGAAGAGTCACTGGTTGAGGTTTATTTATTGATTTATTTTTTAAATTACAAGAGTTTTCCAATATAAATAACAAATTGGGTGTGTGTCTGGAGATGGGTCTGTAATACGGGAGACTACCGGGAAAAACAGGAGTGTTGGCAGGTATGCTCACATATACACTATGAACTCTGACTACTTCAATATTGTTGATAAGCCATCGCCGCATTTCACTCTGTCCCGCGCTGAACGTTGTCAACCAATCGCAACAGACTGTCATCGGTCTAATCAGAGCAGATTTGCTTTGCGCTAAGGAAGGGTTTGGGAACAACTGAATCACTGAACAATTCTTATGGGAGTCGCTGGGATAATTAGGTAAAAATAAATTCATATCAATAATAGGGGCTCTTTAACAGAAGATAAAAACCCATAAAGGTTTAAAACAAGGGAAGAGTGAGGGAAAGATGGCAGAATTTAATTTCTGCATCAACTATACCCATAAACTGGCTGATTAGAAACAGATTTGCAGTTTCCAGCATGCTTTGCATTAGACAGTATATGGAAAATAAGTGTTGAAATTAAGCATTTTACCAACATTAACATAGATTAACATAAATAAGTAATTGTAATTTTGTGCTATTTTTGGATTTATCAAGGTTTCTGTTGTGTTTATCTTTGTAGGGTTACCATTGTAGTGATGCTTGTGATTTAGATGAGAATGGGCTTATATATAGTGCATGATCCACAACTAAAAACATGTCTCTTTGATAGTTACATTAAAGGGAAAGATCATCCGTTTATTCACTTTCAAGTGGTTCCAAACTGTTAAGAGATATTTTGAAGAATGATGAAGACTGGTCGCCATCAACATCCATATAGGAAAAAAACATACTATGGAAGTCAATGGTACTACCCAGCAGGCACACTATATCATAAGATGTAAATATTAGGTTAGATTTAGGTTGCGACATCAGGTGATCAAAATTCAATGTTTGGCCAGCTTCTAAAGACAACATTATTTGGCGTCCAATAACAACATCAAATGATATTGATATTTGGTTGATTTTAGGTTGTGTTGGAAAGTGACCTAAATCCAATGTCATATTAATGTCAAATACTGACATTTATTCGTCAGGTATGGCAACCAAAATCCAATGTCTGATAGACATCATAGTGGCAACATACACACAATGTCAAGCTGTTGATTTTAGGTTAGATGTTGGACACTGATGTCGGCCTGACGTTGGGTTTTGAAATCAGCCTGATTTTCATTTCTAAACAAAATGAAACTCCTCATGACGTTCGGGTACAACTTCAATCAAACGACATATTGACTTTCTGTGCCTGCTGGGTGGTTTACGACATTCTTCAAAATGTCTTATTTTGTGTTCAACAAAAGACAGTCAAAAATGGAATATGAGTGAATGATAACCAAATTAGCATTTTTTTTGGGTGAACCATCCCTTTAATAAACGTCACCAACAAAATCTTAGTTGTAAAATGAGGCCTTGTGTAACGTTTATGCAAACAAATTGTATGTTTCCACATATGCTTTTATAATCTAAAATAATCAGGTTTTACAATTTGTGAAAGATATGACACTACTGAATGAGTCAATGTTTGTGTGATGTACCTGTGTGGTAGCGGCGTTGAAGGAGATCCCCAAAAGCGAGCAGAGTCCCAATCCAGCGGCAACAGAAAGAGTGACCAGCAGGACTCCAGCCAGGCCGACCGCCCCCTGAGACTTGGCGCAGTCCCACCGTAGCATGGTCAGACACGCATAGGCAAGCTGCGCACAGATAACACACAGCTATAGCGTTAATCTGACATTATCACGTTACCGCAGTGCCGTTCTCATGTGTGCGGTCACGGCACAGCAGGGTCAGGCATGCACTGGCAAGCTGCATGTAACTTAACACTAGGCCTGTACACACACAGAGTCTGAGATTTCATGAAAAACATCTTACAACTTGAAAATTAAAAGAAAAAAATAAAATAAACTCTTTCACACATTACAGCCTAAGTATTTAATTCTGAGCATTTTTGGCGACATTTTTATTACATTTTTGACACTAACTTTTGAGGGATAGAAAATGTGCTGTTTTATTTTATTTGGTCTCCCTGAGCCAAAAATGATAATACATTTTCAGCATGATTTACAGAAGACAACCACAACATGTGATTAAATTTAACAATAGTTTATACATCAACAAAAATCTGACTTTAGATTTTATGACATAATAAATGAGTCTATTAAAAGATCATAATGCAACTCAAAAAAAATTTTCTAATTGTAATTTTTAATCTATATTTCGCCACTATTAGTCAGACTTCTTAGTTTTGTCATCAAGAGGTTTTTTATCATTTAAAATGTAATACATATAGTATATATATATTAGATACAGTTTAGAATAAGCATTATGTCGGTTTTACATAATTATCTCCATCCCACTGTGGTCAATTACATCTATTTTACATTATATGGTTAAATATATCTTACTGAATATGAGTTTTCCTATCTTAAATCTTCTTTTCCTATCCCATCTTTTTCTATTTTTACTATTTAAAATGATTTTGGGAGTAGAGTAACTAAAAACTTCAAACATGAAATAAAAAATACCAGTACTTTTTAACTTTCATTTAAGGTTTACAATGCAAATCCAAATACATTCACTTGTTTAGTAAGCAAAGCAAGTCTCTCATATAATATATCTACTGAAAGACAGAAAATATTAATTTATTATTATTTTAATAACTAATATTACTTTATTGTAAATGAATCATATATACATTCGCAGTAGCGTCCACACAAGCTACATTTACAGATTGCGAATCAATAAGTGACAGCACAGACATTCTTTGAGCTCTGAGGCCGGTGTCTAGCTGATGAAAGTAAATCCATATGATGGTGAGAATCACGATTTCTTCTTTCTGTTTTACGGTTCAACAACAAACGTTTTTGTGCATTACTGCCACCTCTCGCTCTGGTCGGTGATGGCGCCAACCAATCAGGCTAACATGAGAAATTTCTTGATAAAAAGATGTCTGAGGAATTATCTGCTTGATAGGTGTGATGTCACGCAAAGTGGCTTCCGGGTCCAATCGCTCTATGGAACTGTATGGGGAGACTCATGAAATAATAACATTTACTAAGACCCAATCCCAATTCAATTTTTGTACCCCTTCCCCTTCCCCTTCCCCTTCCCCTTAGACCTTGCAACTGAGGGTTAAGGGGAAGGGCTTCAAAATTTAACCCTAAGAATTGGGACAGCACTAAACCACCTGCACACGTCATCATATGTCATCGCAATCTCTTGCTTCATATGAGATCAGATGATGGCGACTGCTGTAGTTATTCCAGTTGTGTTATTTTTTGCTATTTATCTTCAGGAAATCACTGAAGCCATGTATTATGTTATCATAACCATCTAATGTGGCAAAAGATTGTAACAGTGCATTTACACAGTGGTCATATTCATTAATGTAAACACACCAAAAACAACATTACCATTATAGCAGACACTGTAAAAAGCCCATTCCCAGCCACTAGACTTTTCTGACAGGGTATTCCAGTGTCATTGAGTGTCAGAATGTTGTGGGACTGCTGTACAGGAGTTATAATTAGGGATTACAGATCGAAATAGATCGCGAAATTTAGCTGCTTTTGTTTTAGCGTTTTTTTTAAAAGCATGACAGTAAAACATGAACGCGGTTATGAATATATTATAACGCAGTTATGAAACGTGTGTTTGTTTATTGTAAAAGTTTGTAATAAGGACCAAAAATACTAATTAGTGGATTTCCTTACTTCAGGGTGCAGCTGGAGCTAGTGTATTCTGGGAAATTTTTCCTACCCCTTTGTTTTGAGTGTGGTCCTGAAAAATCTTCATTTGAAGGGGTATCTACCCCTTGCCCTTAGCCCTACGCCTTCAAGTTAAAGAGAATTGGGACACCAATACCCCTTCATGGGCACGCGCAAAGCGAGGGGTAGGGGTAAGGGGAAGGGCTAAGGGAACTGGGATTGCGCCTAAGTGTTGTAATAATTTCGAAAATCACGATCACAATATATATGTCCATGCCTAATATCCAATGGCCAGAAACTGATTAATTTTTTTATAAATTGTTTAAATTTTGGTATTTGTGATGCAGCAAGCCCAGAGATTGTTGTGTACACTATGACTTTATATAAAATTCTCTATGTGTTATTTGAATAAAAAGTGATCATAAATGAATATTTTCTCAATTCAAATGAGTGGTGGCTCGGACCCGGATACAGTATTACATACGTCATCAACACGTCACCACTTAACAAGCGGATATATAGTTTACTCTAGTAAAGGCTAAAGTATACTATGGTAGATACTATTAGTTCATGACAGTTACTAATGATACTTACACTATGTAGTGTACTTCGTTAATTTGGAGTTGTAAATATACGATAGAATATAATGCTTATTACTAAATAATTCCCCTGTAAATTAGTCTAGTATTTTAAATGTGTAACACCCAGTTTTATTGGATTTTTTGTTTTTGCTGTTATATACTATCATTTGGTACAGTATATTATTTGCAGTGAATAATTGAACTGAACTATTATGCCTCATATGTTTCATTGACAGTTTTATTGATCACTAAGGTATGATTGACTTGGATTTAGGTTGCTTCGATTTAAAAATGAACATGGCAAAAGTAGCTTAGATGTAGCTAAGCTACTTTAGCCAACTAGCTTTGAGCTTATTTGCTACATTTCCCAGAGGGTAGCTTTTAGTGTAGTTAAGCTACATTTTAAGTAGAGTAGCTAATAGCTTAGCTCACTACATTTTCCAAGTAGCTTGCCCAACACTGTTTTTATCTTTGAATGGAAACATAGCTATTGGCTACAAGTTTTCAGCTTTCTTCAGAATCACTTCTTTCGTGTTTAACAGAAGAAAAAAATCTCATTAAGATCTAGATCCGCCTGAGGGAGAGTACTTAGAGTGTAAATTTTCGTTTTTGGGTAAACGATCCCTTTCCCATGATGTTTACATAGAAAGAACCCACATTGCAGAGTTCCACGGTGCTCAGGTAAGTCCTTTCAGCTAAAATATTTTTCAATTTAACTTTATTTCTATAGCACTTTTACAATGTAGATTGTGTCCAAGAAGCTTAACACAGATGAAGTTCTAGTAAATTGTAACTGCTTCAAACCATTTTTTTCCCGTTGAAGTTATGCTCAGTGTAAATATCACTGCTGAAAGTCAAAAAGCTGAAGAGCAACTCCAACGATCTTAAACTGGGAAGTGTTTAATGAAAAGAGGAAGGAATTCTAGATAAACCTAAAGCTCTTCAGACTGGGGATATAGGGTTGAGTTTTTACCATTAGCAAGTAGCCACTGGCGATCCGGATCACGCTGACATCAGAGAAGGACTTCAGGATGTCTTCCAGGGTGGTGGTGGTGAACGTGAGCACTTTCTGAGAGGAATTTACCGGCACACTCTGCTGGACAGCCTGAGGACACACAGGACGGAAGGAAGGAAGAAGAAGAAAAAAAAGAAGTTGTTTACCTTCATTTCACTTACACCCTCTCTATCATCTTCTTTCTGCTTTGTCTGTTCCCTCGGGCCAATGAAAGTAATTAAATCATGTGGAAATCACAGTCCCACAAATGTTTCAGCAGCACAATTATCTAAGAAATTAATATGGCGGCCAAACTTTCCCTTCCTCCCCCCCCCAAAAAACCTCACATGCGCTCACGTCCACAAACGCACACATGTTCAGCCCTGCAAAAAAGGAAACCCTATGCCAAGCGGAGGTCAGGGCTGACAAAACAGAGAGCAGATGATGTCACACACCAGCCACCAATGGGACGGCAGCTGTGAAAGAGATTGTGCGCTGAGCGGGTTAATGTGTTCCAGACGGTCCTGTCAAACACACACACACAGATACCACACACACGCTAAAACACACACACATACACACACAAACACACACACACACACAAGTGCTGGGGCCACTGAAGCAAGAGGGGTTGATTCTTCAATGGACACACACTTACACACAAGAAAAAACAGACTGTGCTAGGTTAAATGGACATGGTCTGGTATTAAAATGTTTTTTATAACACTAAAATCAGCTGCATTTTAAACATTATTTAATGCATGAGGTCATTCATTCATTTATTCATTTTCTTTTCGGCTTAGTCCCTTTATTAATCCAGGGTCGCCACAGCAGAATGAACCGCCAACTTATCCAGCATGTTTTTATGCAGTGGTAAATAAATGGAGAACTTTTAAACAAATGTTACAGTAAGGAAAGATATTGGGATTATGGTATTGGGATTGTGGGTGATTGTATGGGTGTTAATGGCCAGAATGGGTAGCTATACATGAACAAAGGAAAAATAAGACCTGTTAAAAAAAGATTTAAGACCTACAACACAATACTTTAGTAGATTTAGGACTTTTTAAGGCCAAAAATTTAGCTTTTGAAATTTAAGACTTTTTAATACTTCTCAAGTGCCCACTGATACCCTGTTAAATATGCAACTGTCCAGTAGTGAATAATACTAGTTCATATAGCATAATGCAATGGTTTTTTTTGTACTTTAAATTTTACAACCTAAAAGGGTTGCACGATTTACCGGTACTATGGTAGTATCGCAATACTATGGCTCCCAAATACTGGCAGTGCCACTGTAGTTTTGTAAACAGTAGGATCGTTATTAATTGTTTATCTACAATAGATAATGTTGCATGTGGAAGTCTCTGAAATGCTCACATGTTTGTGCAACAATTTTAATAGTCTGTAGAGCCCTTTAAGGTCAAAAAACTAAATAGAATTTGCATCTTTTGTGTTAGCCTGTTGCACATTTTCTAACTCTTCAGTTCGAACACACATCTGAATCAGTTCATTTCTGTTCTTGTTAATGTGATTTGGTAGCTACAACAATCGCAACAATTTCGTAAAAGAACGACTCACAAAGTGAAATTTTAAATTACTTTGGATTGTTACTTGATAAGACTGAAAAAAATAAAGATGAAAAACCCAAAATAGCAACAGGAAACATTGAAACAAAATCTGACCACTTCATATAGCCTAAATTTGTTGGAAAAAATGCTCTTTTGAAACAAATTTCATTTTTTATAATTTGTAACTTTATTTTAATGTATTTTTGTTGGTCAGTTAGCTACAAAATAAACTAAAAGATTGAATACATTTTAGGTAAAGAGAGGTGCAAATAATACGTTTAGGCCTTAAGTGAATTATGAAGTAAATTTAAGTTGGCCTATTATAACATAAAATATAGTATTGCTAAATTTTTTCTTTATAATTTGAGCAATGAATTACAGTATCGCAATACTACTTGGTATACCGCTGGTATAGTATCGTAAGATTCATTTATGGTATTGCGACAACCCTACAACCTAAAAGTGTAAAAAAAAAAACTGATATAGCGATAAAAAAATCCTTCGCTTACAGAAACATATTTTCAATGCTGCAGCTTAATGCATCGAATACATGTGAAGAGTTCAGTGCGCGCGTTTCTACAGTGTGCCATCGTGACCTTTCCCGACCTTACAGATGTGGCCCGTCTTCCAAGTTCACACTTAACCTGAGCGTTTAAAGTATGAAGCAGAGGAAAAAACGGGAAGTCTAGGCCTTTGAAGGACTGCACTTAAACAGCTGGGTCCAAATCTCAAGAGACACAGCGCCTTTGGAATGTATGCATTACTTATGACTCAAGATGAATGCCTTCACACTGCATGACTGCATGTACGCGAGTGTTCGTTCCAGGAAACACGACGTTCGAGCGGAGGAATGAATCGACACGGGCCCCCTAAACGCTTCATAACAAGATCCAGTTTGAGGCAAAGCGAAACCCGATGAAAGAATGAATTACCAAGAAATACTACAACAGAATCTGCTGAAGTAGATCGCAGTCTGAGAGCATCAACAGGGCATCTATACATGCTTTTTTTTTTTAGATGATCCTTGATGAGAGACGTCCATTTACCTCAGAGTATTTCCTCTGCCAGGCTTCTAGTATGGCAGCTGCTTTGTCCTCGTTCCAGTTGATGTGCGAAACCTCATCGTAGCCCTTCAAGTGCTCGTACATCTGCTTTGGGGTCATGAGCTGGAACATGGTCTGAAAGGCCTGTGCACTGTAAGGAGAAAAACACAGAGGTAAAATTATGAAATTATGCTCAGTATATGTGACCCCACACTCAGATAATGACTTTCACTGCTTGTTCAAATTACTTATTTATTAATTGTTTTTTGTTGAATCCACTTAACTTTGTACAAAAAAGCTTTAGTTAATGTAATTTATTCACCCGCTTTGAATGGTATCATTTGATTGAATGGCCGTTTTCAGTGGTTATCAGCTGATAGATATAGGCCAGTAGGGGCCTTCTGCGCATATTAGTAGGCTCAGACGGCTGTTATCATCCATCCACATGGGTAATCAGCTGTCCTAATAGATAAGATTTCAAATCCAGATCTGTTTTTACAATACTGTGACGGTTGGGTTTAGGGTTTAGGGTTGATGTAGACGCAAATAAAATACACTTAATGAAAAATTTTATAAATAATATAAATAATTCTTGTTAACTTCCGACTGCAGCGGTATGAGATCTATAACTGATTAATCATGTGGATGGATGTTAACAGCCTTCTAAGCATACCAGAGGGAGCAGAAGGCTCCTACTGGCCCATATCAGCTGATAACTACTGATGATGCCCATTCAATCGATTGATAACATTCAAAGCGGCTGATCAATTTGTGTTAGGACAACATGAAGGAATTGTGTGGAACCCAACGTATACTGTGTATACCACAAAACAACATGTTGCAAAGATATATTTTTGCCAATTGTATTTTACTGTATGACTTAAAATGTCTGAATCATTTAAAATTACATAATTTTAAAATTAAGCGAAGATTCCACAATTTATTTTTTTTGTAAATTTCTTACTGTAAATATATCAATAAGTATTTTTTACTAGTAATTTTTAGTGCTAACAACAGTTTATTTTTTGGACAACTTTGATGGCGATTTTCTCAGTATTTACATTTTTTTTGACTCTCAGATTGTCACATAGTTGTTTTTCGACCAAATACTGTCCAAACCATTTATCAGTGCAAAGTGTATCTGAAAGCTTTCAGGTAATAGATAAATCTCAGTTTACAAAAATATGGGCACGTATGACTTTTGTGGCCCATGGTCACATACGGTAGTCAAAATTTAAAGTGGATCAAAAAAGTGCTTCAAAATTGTCCTAAAACAAGAATGAGCATTGTTGAGTAGTTTTAGGAGTAGTTTTCAAAACCTTTGATTAAAGGAATTTTATAGAATCCTATTTTTGATTATGAAAAAATATGACATTTTGACAGTTGAACACTGTCAAATGTAAGTTATTTTATATATATATATATTATATATATATTTTATATATATATATATATTTTTTTTTGTTATTTATGTTTTTTGTTTTTCTATAATCGAAGCAGGGAAAGTAAGTGAGAATGAGTGTTTTTAAAAATATTTTGTATACAGGCTCTCCTCTTATTCTTTCATTACTTTCTTTTTTATGCTTTCATTATTATTAGTATATTTATTGTTATTCCTTGTTCATACTCAAGTTTTCTTCAGGTTTCATCAAGTCAAGTGTAAGACTTTTAAGACCCCTTTAAAACCAATATGAATGAATTTTGCACAAATGATTTGTTCTAATAACCCAGATACTTCTGTATACAGTTTTTGTATTAATGGTAGATTATGTAAAGGGATGTGTTACTTTAGTTTTCGTTCCTTGATTAGCTGTTTTGAATTGTATCTCTTGCAATAAAAAACTTAAATATATATTAAAAAAAGTTGTCAGTTGTCGAGATTTCCTTGAGAGATCAGAGACCTATTTAAAAGATTTAAGACCTACAACACAACATTTCAGTGAATTTAAGACTTTTTAAGAGCCCGCGGACACCCTGATACTACTTTATTTTATATTCTTTATATAATTCATACTTGCAGGTCTCCACAGCAAAATGAACCACTAACTACTCTGGCATATGGTTTATGCAGCGGATGCCCTTCTGATGCCCCAGTACTGGGAAACATTCTCACTCTCACTATCACACCCATACACTATGGCCAATTTAGCTCATCCAAATAAAAGGACAAATTAACATCTTACATAAGACATAAGAAATCATTTAAAAGCTATTTAAAAGAATAAGTTTTACATAGTTTGTGTTGTTGTAAGTTATGTTTGTTTTCTTTCGACCTTGTCATTCTCGAGTGAAGTGAATAAAGTAGGAATTTCCTTGTACTAGTGTGTCAATAAAGCTCTTGAAACATGTATGTCCAAAGTGTAACATATTTTACCTTTGTTTTGTTATCTTTTAAAAGGATGCTGGCTTCATCATTATGGTTTAGCACAGTTCAGTTTCTTACGGGGGGTGAGGAGGTGATGATGGCTGCTACGAAAACAAAACCCTCCAGCAAATCCCATACTGACCTCCTCTGTCCCATCTTGAGGATAAAACCCCTAAAAAGAACCACTGACATGCTGAAATACAGCAGTTTATAATTCACTACGCAGACAGGCTAAAACGTCCTCAACTATAGAGTACAGACTCCCTCAAGTGGACTGTCAACCTGCTTTTGTTCAACTGAACACTTCTTGAAACTAAAAACCCTTCACTTTGTCTTTTCAGAAAACCCTTAGTGAGTAAAAAAAAAAGATTCCTAGAAATGTTAGCAGCCGATTCCGGAGCCACTTAGGAATATTTTCCTCTACGGCTGATGTTGTGACTTACAACATTGTTCTTTAATAACGCCAATACAGAATTCTGTCCTCATTTAAGCCAAAAACACTTCACTCTTGGAGTAAAAGGTGTGGGCTTTCATTCAGTCTGTGGGAATGAATACTAATATGCAGTTTACTAATGAAGACAATCTGCCAAAGAGGAAACAAAAACAAACTTCACGCTGTAAATGTGTGTCAGAGAGAGGGAAAGACATAGCGATCTTTTATCCATAGCTACATAAGACCCAAACATTAGGAAATTAGTCAGAATATTTAAATAGAATTTTTTTTTTTACAGATGTTAGTTTTAATGAACATACATTTTCATCTGCTTCGTGTCCTCAAAGTTCTGTTTTATACAATTTTTATACATAATTATAATAGATTTATTATAATTTCCTAAATATATCTAAATACTGTGCCTCAAATTTATAAAATATATCTTATATTTATAAAAAAATATCATCTGGCCAACAATATAAGAGTTTTGACATTGAAGAGTATTATATAGGGCACCATTTTACCCCTTTTTTAAAATTTAATATTTTGGCTCCAGAATGTGTCTGTAAAGTTTCAGCGCAAAACACCAATCAGATTATTTATTCTAACTTTCGGAATATTGGATTTTCTGCTCTAAACACAATGTAGCTGTTTTTGTGGCCTGTGCCTTTATTGATAGTTCACCCCGGCCACCATTACCACGTGCCTGTCAGTGTGTGCCTCACTTTCTGCCTCGCCTGCGTCAGATAAACAGCACAGTGACAGACATGGAAGCAGATCTCATGTAACATTTTTCCAATGATTATTTGATGTCCCAATGATTATTTGATGAATTTTTTGAGAAGTTAATTAAAAAACTGACTTTTTGTCTTTATGTCACCCCAATATGACATTAGATACACTATACACACAGTTTTGTCCAAACAGCTTCCAAAAGATGATTTTAATCATCGGTGCCCTTAAAAGAACAATTAGCTGTCTGGTTTCTACAACTTTCACACATGAGAAATAATCCGTTTTTCAAACTTTATTTTTGCCAGTATCTTGAGTATATCCGAAACTTTACTAACTATTGAAGTCAATGTTGACCATCAACTGTTCAGATACGTTTCAGCCACAACTTGGTCATCTAAGACAAATTTAGGAAATCATGTGATCTTTGATCTTTGGTTGGACATGTTCACAGACAGCCACTTAATGGCTGTTGTGATCATATTTTCCCTCTGTTGAAGTTCTGGCAATGTCAGAAGATTTCAGACACTTTGCTGCTATGTGACAACAGTTTCGACGAGCGTCAATCCAAGAACCAATAGGAGCGCAGAATCTGATGACCTTGCTGGCAATTCAAATGACCACAGGAAAATGTTTTTATTTCTTCCTGGTTTTATTATTTAGGCACGCTGTGTGCAAAATTGTCCAATTTTTATGTTTGCTTTAAGCAATCATTTTAGAACGATGGAGAGTGAAAGTGTCACACATGGATGACGTTAAACTCCAGGTGAGTTTTCGTTTTGCCTTTAGCGCATGTTCATTGTCATTCAGTCTGACATTATAAGAGCTGAGATCTTACAGTGTGACATGGGAGCCATGTTTGTGCAGTCTGACATGCTACAATCGTTTAGGATTATTAAAAATCACAGTGAGCCTGCCTTTAGACTTCAACTAATTTCAACTCATTTGCTTTTTAGTAAGGTAGTAATTGGGATTAAGTATTGGGTAAGATTAGGGATATAGAATAAGATCATACTTTATATAAACACTAATAAACAGTCAATATATTAAGGGTAGGCAGGTAATAAGTTAGTGATTAATAGTAGGACTTGATGCTTAAACTAAAGTGTTCAACAAAAGAAAGAAACTCATACAGGTTTGTATCAAGATGATTGATAGTGAATTTCTCCGTTAAGCCTGTTAAAATGTTTTTTTACCTCAAAAGTTTGCCGCTGTCGTTCTTCTTGGTCCCACCTACGATAAGCTCCTCCTGCCAGTGCATGTACTTTTTGGAAAGCCCATAGCAGCCACCAGTCAGAACAGGAGCCACGTCAAAAGGCTTAAGAAGGAGACAGATCATAAATTAGAGACACGCTTGAGATGCAAAACAACATCACTTTAATTGCCAAATCTTTAGCTGTTTGCTAATGACTAGGCAAAATGAGAACAGACATTTGACACAGATAAACACATGATCGCATGTGATTTGTTGACTAAGCTCACCCCTGTGGTGTTCTTGTTGGGAGCTGATAATGGGCAGTCGGGGTCTGCAGGATTCAGGCAGGGCCGGTTCATGTAACCTTGACCCACATCTGCTTTAACCAGCATCTCCTCCCAGCTGTCCACCTGATACTTCAGCATCTTCAACTCAGCAATGAAGCCCATCGGATCGAAGTTGGTCCACTGTAATGGGGGTTTGCCACTATGGGGAAAAGAAAATATTTTGGAGTTTTAAAACAAAGAAGGACATTTACACAGGAAAGAGTTGGAAACTGTTGCATTTTGTTGAACACAACTGAATATAAGGCAGGTTTATATAGGTAGGCCAGTCACGATATCTATTTTTTTGTTGTACGATATATTGCACCAAAATGTATTCCGATAAACAATATTATTGTCATTTCAAGACCATTTTATGCCACTCATTATATAGTGCCAGCATGACAATATATTATCACTATGCAAGTTCTCCAATTACCACACATAATATTTTATTCTTAAGAATATTTAATTTAATTACAGTCATTTGAATAGTTAGGCATTGGAATCAGATTGTGAAAATGTATATTCTAAACAAATAAATAATAATAAATGTTAACAAAAAAGTGCAGGTATAAAGTAAGAGGCTGGGATATCTGCTACCAGATCTATTTTCAGTTGTTAGACAGCCACATGGAAATATACGCTAGTAATTTATAGTAAATACTATAATGTTTTTTAACCATACTGACCAGGGCTGCATCATATTGGAAAAATCTGACATTGCGATATTTTGTTTTGCTGCACTAAGATGCGATATGTATATAATTTCACTAGATGATTTAAATAGCCCTATTCAGAAAGATTTTATGAATTTAGATAGACTGGGTTGATAAGTCTTTTTCTATGCAGTGGATTTGCATAAAATGTAATAAACTACAAGCATTTAAATAAATTTAAATAAGTTCAAATAAAAGTGACATAAACACTGCTTTATGGTTTTATGGACTTAACAGTATTCATATACATAAAATTGAACAATTAAATAAAAAAATAAGATGGTCATCACTGTATAAATAATTTTATACAATATCTGAAAATAATATTTAATATATTTTAATCTTTAATAAATCTAATCCTTCAAAGTGACTATTGCAGATACACACATTGCAAAATCAATGCTCGAACAATATATTTTTCAGCCCTAATACTGACACTGACCCCCCAATTAAGATAGAGAGGTTTTGCCATCAACTGAAATGTTGCTAGAATTGGTTATGCATATATGAGAGATATATATTGCATCACCAAAATTATTGAGGTTATGTACATGTACTGTGCGATAACTCGATTTATTGATTACTGTGAAAGGCCTATATATAGGTGCATTAACTTCTATAGACATAATTTAATCCAACTCATGTTTATTTCTATAGCGCTTTTACAATGTACAGTTGAAGTCAGAATTATTAGCCCCCCTAATTTAATTTATTAGACCCGTTTATTTTTTTCCCCAATTTCTGTTTAATTGAGAGCAGATTTTTTCATAACATTTCTAAACATAATAGTTTAATAACTCATCTCTAATAACTGATTAATTTTATCTTTGCCATGTTGACAGTAAATACACTTCTATACAGCTTAAAGTGACATGTAAAGGCTTAACTAGGTTAATTAGGTTAACTAGGCAGGTTAGGGTACTTAGGCAAGTTATTGTACAATGATAGTTTGTTCTGTAGACAATCGAAAAAAAATAGCTTAAAGGGGCTAATAATATTGTCCTTAAAACGATGTTGAAAAAAATAATAACTGCTTTTATTCTAGCCTGAATAAAACAAATAAGACTTTCTCCAGAAGAAAAAATATTATCAGACATACTGTAAAAGTTTCCTTGCTCTGTTAAACATCATTTGGCAAATATTTAAAAAAGAAAAAAAATTCAAAGGGGGGCTAATAATTCTGACTTCAACTTTAGATTGTCAAAGCAGCTTAACATAGAAGTTCTAGTAAAGTCCAGTCCAGTTTTCAGAGTTGAAGTTCAGTTTAGTTCAGTTCAGTGTTGTTTAAATTTCACTGCTGAAAGTCCAAAAGCTGAAGAGCAAATCCATCGATGCGCAGCTCCACAACTACTAAAACCATGAGAATTTTGAAAGTTTGGAATGTTACACTCTTTTCCATTGGTATTACAGCATATATGCAATGTTAATCATTACAGCATCTATGCAATGTTAATCATTAGAAATGTATGACATTCTATTGGGTTGATAATTAAACAAAACACATTGAAATATGTATTAGATTTATTAGGATGATAGCTGGACCGGAAGTGAAGTTGTGGGGGAAACACTGCCCAAATGCCAATACATATGTTATTTTATTTATTGTTCTAATTAATTGATAAAACAGAGAATTATCAGCATTTAATAGAATAGAGAACTTAGTTTAATTCTAGTAACACTTCTCATTTGCATAAATATTTACTATCAGATCAAAGTTATTAATTCGTCATGCTGCAACGTTTAAATATTACTTACTTAAAACTATGCATTACTTACTTTAAAAAGTACTACTTACTTAAAACCCACACTTAAAACAATGCATTTGGCAATTTTTTTTAAGATCCTTTAATGAATGTATACTTTAAAAGAACGGTTTACTTTAAATTGTTTCTTAATAAATCTTTTTAGTGAAACTTTTAATGATTTCTTGCTGGCCCCAAACGTTTAAACACCATGTTTAACCATGAAGGAGAAGCACAGACTGAGCCCTGCTTATGGGATGTTGGACGTGGTTAAAGTGGTACAGCATAACTACGGGGAGTGCATGAAGGGTGACTGGATGGAATTCCGAAGGCTTAGGGATTGATGGACGGTGCACGTCACAGCGGTGGCAGCACAAATGTAGTTGGGATTGGATTTCAGCCTGCCTCCATAATAACAGCTTTGAGAAAATGGAATCAATCCGCTCATCTGATCTTTATCCCCTCTAATTATACTGGCGTGCCGGGTGATCCTGCTCCGGGCCTGGCATCTCCCCACAACTAACAGCCCAACGCAGCAGTTTCGCAAACCTCCCATACTTTGCTTGCCATCTAGTCTCATTTGTTCATTTTTTTCAGAGGCCTGTTCATCTTGCTGTATCTTTACTCCTGTGTCTATCCTCAGACGGCCTTCCTCGCACTAAGTTCACCCTCCCACTTTCTATCATCCGTCCACCGCTCCGCTGACTGCCTCTGTAAGCCGCCCTCTGTCAAATCCGCTCCGCCTTTCCATCTCTGCACCATCTTTCTCTCATTTCTCCCTCTCGCTTTCATTCTTTCCTTTTTTCCTGTATGTGTGCTTCCTTCAGCTCGCCCCTCTCTCTTTCTCTTCTGGCAGGCCTGCAGCGGTTCAGACCACATTGTATGTGCCTAACCAGGCTTGAGTCATTATTCCAAGTCCCCCAACCAGAACACAGTAAAATCCTTATTTACCATCCATGATGGAGAGGGAAAAGGGAGGGCAGAAAAACTTTTGCAGACTTGGTGGTTGTCTACGGAGTGTAACTGTTGCGAGCAGCCATTAGCAGCAGAAGTGGAACCATTGTGCGAGGCCTCGAGCGATTCACCATCACAATGAAGGCCTTGAGAAAACACCACCGGAGAGTATGGAGAACCACTTTGGGCTGCCGTTTGATTTAAGTTTTTAGTCGTGATTCATTTAAAGGTGATGCATGTAGAATTTAGGAACGCTCATTTTAGCAACACTGGTTGTCATCAAGTGAACTGCAGTCAAGAACTTTGCTCGTTCTCTGACTTTTGTAACGTACAACAGACTGAAAGTAATTCAATGTCACAGTATATTACGGCTGCACAATCAGCATCGATATCCCAATGTTCGGATCAACAACAGTCACATCATAGAATCTGCAATCTGAAGTTATGATTATAATTAACCAGAAAACACAGATCAGAACAGTGTTGTGGGTAATGCATTAAAAATAACGTGAGTTACATATTAATATTACTTTTTTTTTAAAGTAAGGAGTAAAGTAGCGCATTACTTAAGTAAGTAATAATATTTGAGTTACTTTTCTTGAAAATGTAACATGAGTTACTTTTTAGTTTATTTAATCAGCTTTTAAAAAATAAATTGCTGAATCAAATAAGTCACAATGGATCTAGCTGTCAATGAGAGACATCATCGAAGAAAAGGAAAAGGGGATTATAATCTTAATGAACAGCGATTTTTACTTAAGACATATAGTACAAAATTAGCAAACATGTTGCTTTAATCTTATAATATATATATATATATATATATATATATATATATATATATATATATATATATATATATATATATATATATATATATATATATAACATTTTCCTAAAATAAAGTTTTGATGTGTTTTTTTTAAAGTTAAATATAGGTTATACATTGCATTGTTAATTGCAGAGCTCCTCTATTAAAAAAAGAAAAAAGAAAAACAGAAAAAAGAAAAAGAGATCAAGCCTCAGGCAGGTAATAAAAAGTAACGCAAAAGTAACTCAAATGTAACGTAACATATTACTTACCATAAAAAGTAACTAAGTAATGCAACTAGTTATTTTTTGGGGAGTAACTCACTATTGTAATGCATTATTTTCAAAAGTAACCAGTGAACCAACACTGGTTCAGAACTTGTGATGAGTCATTACAATTTTTTAACTCTTATCTGATAAAATGAAACCATCTATGCATCTAAGAATTTATGAAATTTACTGTTTTAAAAAAAGATAAATTGTGTTTAATTATTTTTTTACATTATAATACATGAATACATCATTACATGAAGACAGAAATTACATTTTGGGGTGTATAATACCTTATAAATACAGCCACCATTTTAAGGTGTCAACTGTACGTTGCTGGGCAACGTATATAAAATAATGTGAAGACTTGTGCTACCACCTTTACACTTCTCTCCTGACCTTGAAAATATAATTGGCTGAATTTTTCATTTAATCGTGCAACCCTGGTGGCATCACTGTTTTTGAACAACAGTGAGCCAAAAAGAATTCTTCACATTATCGACATGAGAACAACATAACACAAAGAGGCGTTTCCTGCCTCAGGGTGCAAATTAATTCTTCAGCCAATCAAGGGCCCCTCCTTTTGCAGGCTCTGGGGCTTCAGCCCCACCAAGCCCTTGTGGTAATCTAGCTCTGCCTACAAATTATTCTAATCAAAATAAAATTAGGATTTTTTTCTTAAATAGGGTCATCTAGTGAAATCATATCGCAAAAAAAAACTAAACATCACAATGTAAATTTTTTCCAATATGGTGCAGCCCTACAATATACTTCAACATTCTAAATTAGATTCCGTTCTTTGATTAGAAGTAAAAATAAGTAGCAGTATAACAATAATAATGTATAAATGTTATATACTGACGACTTTCCCAATAAAAATATCTAAAATCTTCCACATGAAAATCATTACTTGAAAAATCATCACAAGCTGTTCAAACACTGGCAATAAAATACTTATAAAAATTCGTATAATAAAATCCTTGCATATAGCACATTTAATAAGTTTTGCATGTACTCTTTATGCAATACTGTCTAATTTTTTCAAGAATACAGATTATAGTATTGTAAACAGATAATTTATTAATAAAACATCTTTCATTAACTTTATAGATTAAAAGAATTAGTGCAAGGTTTATGTTTGATTTATAAATAAATTATGCATAAATTTCTTTTTACCACACTTGGTAACATCCAATTCACATGGGGCGTCAGCATCAACGCTTCCAATTCACTTTGAGTGGGTGATGGCAAGCATTGCCGAACTGAATTGTGGATCCTCTCCATACAGAAGTTGTAAATTTCAAATACCCCAGCTCAGACAGTAGCCGATTGCGGACTGATTCCATTGGCTGGGGCTGCTATGACAATTGCGTCAGCCCCAACTTTAGGTACCCTAACTGTCAAGTGTTGACACTGAAGCCTCATGTAAATTGGGCATAAGATAGGCAAATCGTGTTTCTTTAAATTATGTTTGCTAAAAAGTGTTTACTGTATAAAAATTGTCTTCCTTAATAATTAGTATGATTTCAAGAGCCATGAAAGAATCAACCAATACAGTGTCCAAGTAAGTACAGAAAGATATGTGTAACTTACGGGAGATAGAATGTTCCTGAATGTAGCTTAGCACCTTCCCAGAAGCAGTCCAGAGGAGTGATGACAAGACAAGGGTGCAGTTTTTCTAAGATCTGACAAGAAATACGCACTATTACAATCCCCAGCCTTTAGGTCCTTCATTAAAGTATCAAAAATTTCTAATAAAACTGCTTTCTAAAAAGATATCGTAAATCTTCTTTCTCACCTGGTCCACAACATTGGTTTCGGTAACAAGTTCTCCTGATTTGTAGCATAAATGTTCCAATGTCCATTGCCTGTAAAAGCAACAGTTAGATAAACAATCATTAAAATGAAATCCTGATATCGATGAGTCTATGAGTGGCTAGCAAATAAGCCATACCTGTTGTACATGTAAACGTGCACTCTGCTGGCCTTTATGGCAGAGTCGAGGTGCTGCTTTAGCGCCTCTACGGTCAAAATGTTAGCACCTTCCTGACGAGGCGTCTGTATCATGAGCTGAGGACTAAACATGGCCTCCTCTCCGATCTTCTGCCGTGTGTACTTGAGTTCCTGATTCACCCTGCCACCCACTATGAAACAGAGAGGAAAGACTTTCAAATAGTGATCTTCCACCCTATAAGCAAAGTCAATAGGTTAAAGAAAACAATGGAGCAAAAAGGGAAACATGAACTCCATATTTCAATGTCACACAATAATTGAAACAGTATTGCATTTTCTACAACACATTTCAACCCAGCACTAAATGACCCACAGTTGATCCCTTTAAGGGTAAAAGACATCCATTAATACTCATGCCAAATGCAGGAGACTGGAAATGAGAGCTCATACAAAGTTATTTGGCATTTCACTGCATTCTAAAGTTCAAATTTCTTCAACTCTGGCCTGAAAAATTGTATCACATGATGTAGAGTGACCAATACACTAATTAGCTAAATTAAAAGACAGCTAACTTCAAGCCAGAAAGAATGCAATGTTGCAATAAAGCGAAGTAGATTACATATTTTAGCATTTTGGATGTGTTGTACTGTACACATATGTTGTGTGTTACATTGGTACATTGGTACTTGGTGTACATTCACCAGCCACTTTTTTTAGGCGCACCTTACTGTTACCGAGCTGGACCCCTTTTTGCCTTCAGAACTGCCTTAATCATTTATGGCATAGATTCAACAGAGTACAGGAATTATTCCTTAGAGATTTTGGTCCATATTGACATGATAGCATCACACAGTTGCTGCAGATTTGTCACTGCACATCCATGATGCGAATCTCCCATTCCACCACATCACAAAGGTGCTCTATTGTATTGAGTTCTGGTGACTGTGGAGGCCATTTAAGTACAGTGTCTTCTGTCATGTTCAAAAACCAGTCTGAGATGATTCACGCTTTATGACATGGAGCATTTTCCTGCTAGAAGTAGCCATCAGAAGATGGGTACACTGTAGTCATAAAGAGATGGACATGGTCAGCAACAACGCTCAGGTAGGCTGTGGCGTTGACATGATGCTCAATTGGTACGAATGGGCCCAAAGTGTGCCAAGAAAATATTCCCCACACCATTACACCACCACCACCAGCCTGACCCATTGATACAAGGCAGCATGGATCCATGCTTTCATGTTGTTCTGACCCTATCTGAATGTGGCAGCAGAAATCGAGACTCATCAAACCAGGAAACGTTTTTCCAATCTTCTATTGTCCAATTTTGGTGAGCCTGTGCGAATTGTAGCTTCATATTCCTGTTCTTAGCTAACCAGAGTGGCATCCGATATGGTCTTCTGCTGCTGTAGTCCATCAGCCTCAAGGTTGGACACTTTCAGAGATGCTCTTCAGCATACCTTGCTTGTAACTAGTGGTTATTTGAGTTACTGTTGCCATTCTATCACCTCGAACCAGTCTGGCCATTCTCCTCAGACCTCTGGCATCAACAAGGCATTTGCTCCCACTTAACTGCCCCTCACTGGATATTTTCTCTTTTTCTGACCATTCTCTGTAAACCCTAGATATGGTTGTGCATGAAAATCCCAGTAGATCAGCAGTTTCTGACATACTCAGACCAGCCCATCTGGCACAATCAACCATGCCACTTTCAAAGTCACTTAAATGACCTTTCATCCTATTTCTGACACTGAGTTTGAACTGCAGCAGATTTAAATTTCACTGCCGAAAGTCCAAACGCCGAAGAGCAAATCCATCGATGCGCAGCTCCACAACTAAACTGTCAACATGCCTAAATGCATTAGGATGCTGCCATGTGATTGGCTGATTAGAAATGTGCGTTAACGAGCAGTTGGACAGGTAAAGTGGCCAGTGAATGTAGATGTGTTATGTAAATATGTATTTGTAAAAAAGGATTCCTCAAAGTTTATCAACACTTTATTATACATCTACATTTATTCAATTAGCTAACACATTAATCCAAAGCAAATCAAAAATGAGAAATGCAACAAGCGATTTATCAAAAAGAAGCAAATCGATATGTGATTTTAAGAAACAGAACGATTTTAAGAGAGAATCATTTTTAGCTGTCAGGGATATGCACGATTAAAATATTAAATATTGTTATGGAAAAATCCCCCAACAGCTAATTTGAAATATGTATTTTCCGGGCATTATTATCCAGTTCAGTCTTGTTATATCATCACACTCAATTTATCAAGCTCACAGTCAAAACTATTACTCAATCTTCAAAACTTCATTGTTCTGTGTACTTAATAAAATCAACACACAGTTGGAAAATCCCACAAAGAACAGAGAACTGAGATAACAAGAGACTTAGCAATCTTCAATAACAAACAATCATAACTTTTACTACCGTCCCACAGGGTCATGCACAGTCTCATAGTAATCAATCATATCCTCAAGCCTCGATGAAAGGAAACGCTAACACATGTACAGGCTCCCATCTGTCCTGTTAACTTGACTTCAAAATGCCTTTCAGTGCACCCTTTAACACCTGCAGTCTTCTTCACAGCCTTCAAATCCAGGCCTATGAGTTATGAGCAAGTGCGTTTGCATGTGCACACGATGTGTGTATATATGCACCTTGGTTGCTTTAGAGCAATTGCAATAGAGCAGTGGAGACGTTGTGTGGCGCACACCTAAGCTTCGCGCAGGAAGACTAACCCCTCACAGCTACAAAAGCAGCCTTTCAAAGCGTCCTGCTGAACACAGTCCAAGTCCACCTCTCAAAAGCTGTCGATTCTTCACGCGCTCTTTACCTGACCTCAGAGAATAGAAGACTTCTCTAGTTTCAGGATCAAGCACCTCAGAGAGGCAGGCAACGCGGTATACAAGGACTTCACAGTTAGTGTGGACCAGGTAATACAGTCTCAGACAGGTAATCTGTCAATTGCTTGTAACGTAATCAAGCAAAGCATCTACTGATTTGATGTATACACTGCAAAAAATGCTTCTCTTACTTTGAGTTTTTGTCTTGTATCTAGTCCAGATTTTAAAATGATTCATTCAAGAGCATTTTCTTAAATATTGTCTTGTTTTAAGAAATAATATGCCAAAATTAAGGCCAGTCACGATATCTATTTTTTGTTGTACAATATACTGCATTGAAGTATATTGCGATAAACAAAATTATTGTCATTTTAAGGCCATTTTATACCACTCATTATATAATGCCAGAATGACAATATAATATCAACAACATGCAACTATATTCTTCCAAAGAACGCATAATACATTATTCTTAAGAAAATTTAATATAATTATAGTCGTTTTAACAATTTAATAATTAGGCATTGGAATTAGAATGTGAAAACGCATATCCTTAATAATAATAAATGTTAACAAAAAAAAGTGCAAAGTAAAAAGTAACAGAGGCTGCGATATCTGCTTCCAGATCTGTTTTCAGTTAGTCATGCACATGAAAATATTCTATAGTGATTTATAGCAAATACTATAAAAATCAAGAGGTTTCACAATCAGCCAAAATGTTGCTAGAATTGGCTTTTATGTATGGGCGATGTATATTGTATCACCAAAAATGAGGTTAGGGCTGAGCCGATAAACGATATTATATCGAATCGTGATGAAATCGATGTCAATAATGTTGGCGCCAATAGCCTAGTGGTTAGCCCATTGACATATAGCACCCAGGTGCTTGTGGCAACCAGAGTTTAATTACCGGCTGTGTATGAGTTTAGTATATACTAGGGGTGTAACGATACACTCAGCTCACGATAAGATGTGTATCACGATATAATGTTCACGATTCGATATGTATCACGACATTTGGAATAAAAATTGAAAATTAAACTGAAATGCAAATTTTACCAAGTAAAATTTTTTATGTATTTCTACGCTTAAATATGGTACGACCAAGCTATCAAAGCCATGGAATAAAAGTTACTCCACACTGTTCAAGTGTTTCTGTTTTTCAGACTATTCTTGATGTTTTCAGGTTGATAAAACTATACAAGCGGTTAGTGATATTTACTTTTGCTTGTTTACATTATAAGATACTCTGATTTGTTTTATGCAACAGTAAAACAGGATTATTTGCTTTCTTTTCCCTGTAATAAAATGAAAAAAAAATGGTTGGTTATAAATTATTAAAAAAAATTTATCATATATCGAATATTGTATCGTTTAGCAAAATAATGCATAGGATATTTACCCTCAATATCGCAATGCCCTGGTAGCTAGCTATAAAGATTTGACTAACTTGCTCAGCAACATTTTTCTCAACACATGATAGTGGTTCAACTGGCCATAAAAGGCCCTGTTTACACCTGGCATCAAGATGTGGGCTGATTTAGAGGACAACACAAAATACAGATGTAAACAAGATCTGAAACGTTTTAAAGTCATTCACATCAACCACTTCCAGAGGTAGTCAAAGACGAAAAGACCACTTACTCTCTGCCTATTCACCAAACATGCAATCATCTTGGTGTTGTCATGAAAATGCACCAAACAAGATTCTCATACCAAAGCACCACGATTCCAATCAAATCGCAGTTGCCATCTTCATTTTTACCTCTAATTTCCAACCACTCATAAACCACGTAACATGGCTTCATTTATTAAAGAACTCATGCGTCACACTGTGCATAACTGTAAAAATAAGGTAGAGACCAAATATGAGTAAAGAATTTCAGTAAAATCTCAACTCAAGTTGTTACAACTGGCACAGCTGGACATACTAATATTAGATAGAAATGATAAAGCATTACTTCGCAAACCACTTGCGATAGAATCAATGATAAAATCCTTGTTTAACAGTTAAAAATGATGGCAAGTATTGCTAGGGGGTATCGATATCAGGGAATAATTAGTCAACCATGTTAGATTTTTTTATTTCATGCTTACCGCAACATGTAAATAAGTGGGCATAGCTAGCTCACATGCAAGTATACATGAGCCTGAAACTCTGGAAAGTTCTGACTGGAGTGCACTTAGTAAGATTAGGTCAGCAATCTGAGGTGAACTTTTACCTTTGATTTAAAATTACTGTTTTGAATTAAAGACTTGAAACTGTGAATGTGAGTACAGAATAACTCTGTGTACAATATCCCTCATTAAGTTAAACAGCCAGTTGAGTAGCACTACA